ACAAAGCTTGTCTCTGAGTGAGATTTTAGGTCTAAATACCACCCTGATTGCTGCTTTATTATGAATCCTACGTGGGGTGTCAGATGTCACCTCTTTATATGGTGTAACAGTAGATAATATATAAATATTCTCTCTCATTTATGTTATCATTATTAGATTCACAATTATTTTAATTTTGCTTTTGACCGTTTTTGATATTCCTAATGAATTTTAAAGGATAGTTATTTAACACCAACGCCTCTTCTACCTGTTTCATTTCATCGTTTAGGTTTTTTGTTGTACTACTTAGTGCTATTGCTCGGTTTGGCAGACACTTAACTATCCCAGCATTTACAGGTTGATAACGGATGAGATGAAAATCGTTTAGAATGCGCTGGTTACCTATAAACGCTAGTGTGCAATCTGCCTTCTTATATTCGTTTTATTTTACAGTCTAACATAGCTAATTCTCCTTGTTCATTTTCCGAATCAAACCGGAACTGTAATCCCTTTACTAGTGAATTTGTATGTGTCAAGAAGGTAGAGATATGTTCTGTTTTTAACACTATGAAAGTGTCATTCACACATCTCCACCATACTTTTGGAGTAAGATTAAATGTATTTAGAGCAATATTTTCCCAGCTGTCCATAAAGATACCTGCTACCAAATATTCTACTACCATTATTACTTTTAGGCAATAAATTAAACCATTTAGACTCAACCAGAGACGGCTTCATTCTGCGTATTAAATTTGCTGTAGAATTCTTAATCGTATTCCTTATTGCATATACAGGCTTCTTAATTTCCTCATATGGACACGTCTCAGTATGTTCAGTGACTTTCTTGATATAGTCAGATTCATTCAAAACTACTGTGAAGTATCCTTTATCAGCTTTTGTGATGACGATGTTTTTATGCTGTTTCAGACCAATAAAAGCTAGTCTTTCCAATTTTGTTAAGTTTGATTTTGCCTTTTTTCTGATTTTTCAGGGTCAATGCTCATTGTGTTCCAACCTCTTCTGCTGTCGTCTTATCTATTGAACCTAATGCTAATTTTATGTTAGGAATAACATCGCCTGGTTTCAATTTACTAACTCACGTTGAAGTTTATTCCTTTCTCGAGTACTTTCAACTCACTAGTTCCCTTGATAAGGGGTTAATCACACATTTTGTTCTGTCGATGGAGGATGAAACCTTGTCGTCAACTTCATTGTGTTGTTCTTTTGATTTTCTCAATGCTGTTTCTATAGCTTTTTCTCAAACTTTCCATATAATGTGACTGAACAAAAAGTTGAAGATATTCAAAATTATGAATATTTATTTACCAAAAGTAACATATCATGATCAAGGTGAAAATATTAGTGCATGTTCACACGCCGCCGGAGTTTGTTCAAATGGAATATATGCCGCCGAAAACATTATGAGCATTTCTAACCATAAACAGAAGGCTCGAAATATTATTGTGCAATAAAATTCTTTAAATGCGATGCAAAATCGTAGTCTATTCACCGTCAGAAAAATGGCCTACAAAGTAGGAAAATTAAATAACATCAAATGAATTGTAACTTCCATCACTCACAAATATTTTGCTATATTAACCATCTGATACACAAGTGTGTGATGAAAGTAAACTGGAGGTACACCTTTAAGGAAAGTGCTTTCATCAATATATAACCTGATTCGCACAACACTGGATGTCATTCGCTTAATATTTCTTTCAATTTAACTTGTAATAAGCTATGCAGAGTAGATGAATGTGCTGCGGATCTACCGAGGAACTAGAAATAGACTTTCCACCTCACACACTCAGAAATTTATTGTTTCTTTCACTTAAATAGTGAGCATTTGGAACTTAGCGTTTCGTCTTGTAGACAGAGAGAGTGACTTATTGCGCAAATTTCCTCTGGGTCTGATATTTTTGGACAAACCATCAGAGAATTTCAAGCGAGGAGATGCAGTATGAAAGCGACTGCTAAGTTATGATACTACTCGAATGGTGATGAATTAGGTTCATAAATGGACAGCTGACTGAGTACGAGTTTCTGCCTGTATTAGTTGAATGCGAATTCCGTGTCAGTTGAAATTATCAAGCAGTATGAATTACCATCACATTAACAATTGGCATGTTTTCCGTAAATTGAATGATTGACTCGTAATATCTTGTGAACACATTTACTGGTATTCAGATGTAACGAAACTATATTTTCTGTTCATTACGAACAACGAGCTTTGCGAACGTATTCGTATTCAAAAAGTCATGGTAACTTGACCTAACTGTAAGCAGATTTGTAACCTTACTGCATATGTCAAAGATATTTTGAGCACATGAATGAAGTGAGCTCTATTCGTTAGATTGGCACTTAAAAATATTTTGAATACATCATGATGGAACTTACTAACACCATAGCAAAAAGGAAGCAAACTCCAATGGCCATTTCCAGTTTCTCCTGAAAACATGAAAGTAACATAGGATAACTTGTTAAAATAAATAAATCAAAATTTCTGGTTTTCTGATCTCCACACTGAAATTTTAACAATAAAACTATCGGTGGACCAATGTTTCAGACGTGGCCATGGATAGAATCCTTCACAATCACTTGAGCATAACCGAATATGCGGAGTAAATCAGCTGAAGTAATAACTCGCAACCATAAGTTTATCTCTTTCACAAATTTCAGTAAAAACCAATGTCATAAGGTGTTGTTAGGTGCCTAATTGTACACCATCATCGATTAGCATAATAAACTTCAAAACACCTGGGATTCCGGTCACGTTGTATCCAGGGGGAATTCAAACTATTCAGATGCCAGTAGGCATAATAAATAATAAAAGCGTAATGACATCGTTTGACAGATCAGTTACAGTGATCTGACGAGGATATCTCCTAGTCGTTGCGTTTGTAACGTTCGACATACTTGACTTACAGCGAGAAACTGCTTTGTATATATTTATTGTCAACAAGACAACACCTCACTCTCAGTGAAAACATCTTAAATCAAATCAAAATTTTCAAAGACTGTGATACATTTCACTTATTTGGTTGTTACCTGTTTTTCCTTCCCTGTGTAGTCAATAATGAACATAATAATTCCACTGAGTACCGAAGCACATAAAACTGAGAAAAGTGTAATAGTAAATTGGAAATTCGTATCTCTCATGTATAGAGCCGTAATGAGTACAGCTGCAGTCACTACAAGTGTCAAACCGCTGGCTGTCAAAGCTGTGAATAAATAAACAGTATTGAACACAGTGGCAAAGCCCATTGAGCATAGTGTGAACTAAAATGAAAAAAGAAGGTGTTATATTGGAAGATTATTACAATGAAGTACAAATGAATAAAAGATGGATTTGATGATGGGGCAAATCGTATCATGAAATTTCACTATTTCGCTGATGTATAAGTGAAGTGGTCATCTTTGAATTATCTTTATTAATCCCTGAAATTCACTGACATGCATAACCACACAAAATAATATCCTGTTGTCGATCTTCGACCGCATTTAACAAGAGCTTACAAATGTACAGATAGTAATCCAGTTGGTAAAATGATTCCTGTTTTGAACGAAACTGGACGAAGTGAATTTATGTGAGGTTATTCACACTGTGAAATCCTTGTTTCAGAAGTTGTGTATCACTTGTTCATTTCATGTGCTACTTTGACATTCCGGAAAAAAATTAGAGACAGGTATGAGAATACTGAATCAACCTTACTTTAAGTTCTAGTGATTGTGAGGTTCTGGGGAACTCAACAATTTGGTGAGATTATTCAAAGAAACTGGTGCTTTTAAACATGTTGATGAGAGATTGAGTTCACGTTTGTGTTGAATGAAAAATGTCTCCTCATGGTTAGATATCGGTATTTCATTTGCTGAACAAATCACAAAGACACACTTCAGTCTGAGATTCAGTCAATGATAAGGACCATCTCTTCACATTCGAACTATATTTTAGTGGTTGTCACGCATTCGCTACACATAGCTGTGTGATTCCTATCTCCAGATAATGCCATTGTAGGAGAAATTGGACTTCATCGACAGAGTTACGACTTCGATCGAGATGAATACTGGTGCCTGTTGCTCACTGAAGATATCATACACTACTCCAAGCAGACAGCAACATACGTCGCCAAAACACATTGCACATTTATTATAAACACATAGAAACGTCGGAGTGCTTGATGAGAACATTGTCACAAAAATAAGTTTTTATCATCATGCCTTATGATGCAGCTGGTTACAGCTCGATTAGATATCATAAGATATGAATTCCACCTACAAAATCTTAAATCAGTTTCTTTATATTTTACGCGGTACACTACTCTGGTGAGATGGCTGTTGTGCAATTTTATTTACCTCACTTCTTGTATCACTTATCATCTTAAGTAGTTTGTGGGTATACGAATATTGAACGCACGTTTTTTTTAAATAGTTGTGGGTTGATAAATCTGACACAAAAGGATTGAAACACTTACACTGAATGCTATCAGAAAATGATCAATTTCACGACGATATCCGAGTAGTTTCAGTAATGCGAGAAGAAGAACTGGAAGTGTCCCAATTAGTCTGAAATGAGTAATTAATATTGGTCAATTAATTCTGTGACCATAGAGTCTGTTTTCAAATCGAGCACAAGATTATATCAGGAACCAAAATGTTACACCATCAAAGTGTTTCCTCATTTAATAACTTAGTGTGATACTGCTACAGTACCCAACTGTTATATGATATCTGACTGGCTACAGGTTTCATGTGAATTGCACGAATTCCTCACAATTCGAAAATGCGCCAGTATATGTGCTACCAGCAGTTATTTAACATTCATGTAGCCAATAAGCAGACACCAGAATAAACAGAGAATAAACAACGCAAATATCTGAAATGAACAACCTTTTCATCAGGTCTAGGTGAGATAGACAGGTAAATCATAAAAGTCTCCATTGAAAGCTATGTTCATAGGTTTCATGAGTATATGTTGATGGAAAACGTCATAAAATGAACTTACATTAAAACAACTGTAACCCAGCTGTGCTCTTTAATCCAAAAACAAAGCTCTTTACTGTGAAAATAGAAAAATTATTATCTTGATGAAATTTCGTCTTACACTCTGTTGACCATAACAACCATTGTCAGTGTCACTAAAAGCATCAACAATGTGTCAATTACCATCTGCATGGGGCAGTTTCATAGCAAGGTATTGATTTCTTACCCAGATGAAGAAGTATAGAAGTCTTCCTTGTCTCAGTTTCGAAGGAGTATTTTTCAAATGGTTGGATCTTTCATGTTTCATGGACATATTTTGACCTACAGAATATTTTCAAAGAAACACAACAGTTTAAAGGTTACCTTAGCCCCATAATGAACGATATGTACAATGTTAATTACTAGGGAATGGGGTATTCACATGCAGCTAGAATTTAATATATCACTGATATTATTTGTTTTATGCGCATCTTCTATGTGAATAGGCATGTTCGCAGCTATTTATCACGAAATATATTGTTCGTTAAACGACAATATTTAGATTGCATGCACCACGTGTCCCTCAGCAGTCATAACAAAAGAAGTTTGAAAGTAGAAGCGGATAAGTGAATTAGCACAAATGTCCGTACTGTCTCTAATACGTCTACTGCTAATAATAAGGACTTTTGTAATAATTATTGGCTTTTACATACTTGAATAAAGATGTCAGACGAATACATGATTTGTCTGTCCACCCTTACTTTTCTGGGTGAATTAGGACTGTTTCCGTTGTATACATGATTCAAGCTTTCAGAGTGTGTATTCAACAGAACCATTTATGTTGAAATGATCTGTTATTGTCATTATGTGAGAGTATGAGCTTGTGCTGATCTATATACCTTTGATGTCCGATCTTTATCTCACTGTACTGCATGTCAAATACCCTCAGGCTATATAACCAATAACTACAATCTAGATAAAATGTCATTTTTGAAAAATAATGGCTGTCGGATTCTCAGTTAATCAGTCGTTGCTCTGTACTTCGACACGTCACTCTAGATGAATCAATCATATTTCTTTCCCATATCCATCTTTGATGACAGCCACCATTGACGTTCATGGATATTTATGAACATGTAATTTGCAGAGTGCATACAACGTTATGTATATGATTAGCAGTATAAATCAAGTTTGTGAAGATACAAATATGACTTAATGAAACTGATAATACATCTGTCGTTCAAAACTTACCCATCATGCCTTCAGCCGTTCTATTCTCATAAATGAATAATTCATCGAAAACTTTTATATAATATTGTTGCTTTATTTTTGTCTGTCATCAAGTGGTTAGCTGAAAAACACTTGAACTCTGGTCTTCACACACATTTAAAATATTTTCATTTGATTCTAATGATTGATGTGAACGCATCAATGATATTCAAGGAATTTTAATTTTGATAAGATATATTTAACGATTGGTTGCTTTACTGTTACTACAATTTGGCTAGCTAACATTAACGAATCACGAAAATCCAGTGGCGTTGCCATAATCTCCTTATAGCTTAATGACTTATGTCTGTAATTACTGCAATTATTCATTACATGACAAAACAATTCACGGTTTTTATTCGTCAAGTATTGATTCGCAGGGATTTAATTGGATACGTCGTTGGCCCCAAGCAGACATAAGCGGCAGAACGACTAGAAAACCTATCGAGCAAACAGGAACGATTGGGCGTAGAAACAACGTCACCTTGACTGAAAATTCGAAGCCTTAGGTATTATTTCCTACACGGAACTTAAGGAGTTAGAAAGGTTCTCTACATATGCCAAAAAATTTGGATTCTCATCTTCATTCAGCAATAGGGGTAGCATTATAACTTACAAAACAACAAATCACGTCTACTAAAGGACACTGTGGAGCTCATTATACAAAATAATTTAGTCTGTCTAAAATTCTGCATTGCTTATGAGGTCAAATACGTGGGTCATATTGGTAGGTTGGAGCAAACCGGATTACTGGAGCAGAAAAACTCAGCCGAATCAAGATTCATTGGCCTGGGATACATGTAAGTGTAAGAGTTAAACAACATTGGCAAAGGTATGAAAAATCTGCTGATATTATGATAAGTGGAAAGGAATACAGAGGAACAAATCAGGGATGCCGTACTCTAGTTACTATCTACTTTAGACCTGAGCTATCGACATTGTAATGTATTCATTTTCATAGGATTCTGAGACACATCTTGGATCCAGGATCACATGACATTCATTCCTCGTTGTTCAAAAAAGGCTCTCTGAGGATTTCGCTTGTATTACAGCCATAGCGATACCCCAATCAGTCACTCGTAACTGCTACTGTGGATCGGAAAAGCAACAGAATCTAACCAAATCCTTATTTCAACATTCGTCAGAAGAATATATAGGCGTGTAAGCCTGCCTTAAGCACTCAGTAATTTTTCCAAGTGAAGATGCCAATCGCTCTTCGCAATTGGTCACGAGGAGCCAGAAGCGTGGCAGCAGAGACGTAGTCAAGAAAAGCCTATGAATGTCTCTTGGCTCCCATTTAAACAGATCCGGCTGAAAGGTTGCACTTCACCGAAGTGAACCGAAACTGCTGACAGACGGTCTCATCAGGCCACACAAAGTAGATCAAACTTCGAAATTTTCAAGCACAGTTAATGTAATATGTATCTTTGAAGCAGTCGTTGACGAGACCACAGGCACACAAATTGCCATGCAATCGTCCATCTTAAGAGGATTTAAGCTGCATTCACTCAAATTGAAAAGGCTTTATTGAGTTCCATATCTATAACTGTCATCATGACCTCACAAGTGTGGAGGTTTTGCTCCTGCAGCCATCCATGAATGTGATCGCATTTCACTAGGCCTCATATGTGGAATTGAAATGTAACTCTCCATTACCAGTTGTTATAATGGTAGTTTGGTCACTTATAAGCAAATCGTTACCGTAGATATTTTTAAGTCCGTGGCCGACACAAGGCTTTCTGTGATCAGTAAACGTATCCACAGTCATCATGGAGTTTTTTTGGATTACAACTTGATTCCACACCGTATTTTTTGGTTCAGGTATGGAATTTTCAGCATGTGATATCGGTAGGCCAAATTTTGCAGGCCGACCATAGATTATAGGTGTGCGTCTGCAGGGGATCGAACCCCGGACCATGATCGGTGAGAGTCAAAACCTCTGTGCCACCGAAGCACAAATGAAGAGTCACAGTTCAAACTGAGCCAGTTAGGACCTTTCTAATAAACTCACTTAGATCCCTGACTTTTGAGGCATAAACGCAAGCATAAACTTTTGAATTTCTACGGTTATCCATGTACCAAGACTACTGTAAGCCGACAGCCTTTGTATCAGTAAGCTACCTGAGTTTCATCTGTTGTGATTTGAACGGTGTAAAAGCAATGACTCCAATAACTGTGCACTGATGCAAAAGGGAGAATAACATGCTTGTCAGCAAACAAACACTGTCAGTTGTATAGGCTGGGGATTACCAGTAACCCGACTAGTTGTCTCACGCAACCTGAAGCAAGATATATATATATAATATCATTTGAAGGAAAACAGTCTGAGAACATTCGAACGCTACACTGTATAACTGACTTCCTTGAAATAAATATGGGTAATGAGGCAGGTATCATTTTCCTGGTTCATACTGATCACTCAGTCTCCAACAGTAACCTTCACCTATAAGTGAAATGACAGGAACTATGACCTAGTAGACTATGAGCGAATACTAACTTAACGCACTGGCCAGTCTGTCCCATTCACGTGTCAACAACAACAACAACACCTGGAACGATAAAACGCAAAGACATAAGAAAAAACTGAACGTCGATAAGGCAGCTTTTATTGTTCCAAACAACAGTCAAAATGCTATTCAGAACTCCGTATCCATACTTTTAGAATGAACTTGAAAATGCAGTAATTCAGTGATGCATAAAAAATATTAACAGTCAATAGGAATCCAGCAATCAAAACACGGTGAATAACAAAAGGCTCACACCAGTGCGCGATAACTCCCTGAAATAGTTATTTTAATATTTAAGGTGAAATTAGACAAAAATAGGAGTATTTAACAATAGTTCTACCAATAATCACTTTCATTATTAGTCCAGAGATCCGAATCCAACACAAACTCCTTCCTTGAATTCATAGCAGCTTCCCTGTTACAAACCAAACGGCCTATATTTAACCCTCAAGAGTAGACTCATTGTGAAGTGCACATTTTAACACGTACAAGGCTGTTTGATCATTTGAGCTGCCTTCAAAAATTTTGTGGGTCCACATCTTTCCGAGATATGATAGCCATGGAGTTCTTTGTCGTATATTTCGATATTCATGGTCTCTTTGTTGACATCATTGCTCATAATAAGAGATGAAACTCTAACAATCGATACAGGCCTCCCCACTGTCTACCTCAGTGGAGTTTTCTAGGTGTAGATGTCATCTCTGTAATATTCTTCAAACACCTTATGAGCTTCTTGTGAGTTTATACTTGTTTCTTTATTAATTTTGAAATCATTCAACAAAACTTTGACTTCCTACAAAAAGTTCATGTAGTCTGCTAGATTTTCATCATAGCTCTGTAGTTCAAACTTCTGGAAATCAAAATATCTAGTCTACTCGGTTAAAAGTGTACGATAACCTTACACATTGTAACACAATCATTAGGCAACTCCATACTTTCTTGATGAGGTAACATTATTATTATTGTTGAAGCCCTGTGTTCCACTTGGAACCCAAAGGAACAAGAAAGGCTTTTTACATTAAATTCTCAAGAAGCTTAGATACTATATGATCTGGTATTTCACCAAACAGGCTTTCTAGCCACCATTTGCACAGTGTCCATCAAATGAGTTATATTACAACTCGAGTAGGGGGATGTAATGGTCACTGCAATTCTAATTGTGAGACACTGCTTAGTTAAACAGTACAGATCTTCCAGTGGAAGTCCAGTTGCCTAAATCAAAGTATCAATTTTCTGTAGAAGTGAAAGAGTACGGATCAACTTCAATTTCTACACACAGGTGATGAAACACACATCGATGTACTACAAAGCACAGTAATAGGCCATTTGGGAATAATTCAAGTCATCGAATGACTGGATATTCTTCAGAGCAACCATCGATATCACAGAAGATTTTCAGAATTGTCAGCTGCATGTCTGCAGTGAAATCAGATCATTACAGTCGTTCAAGCTGGCTGATAAATGACTGACAATCTGCATAGTTGTATACATGGGCAGAATGCCATATTGATAGTATGACTCTGTGAGCAACTTAACTAGTGGTATATCACTTAGTGTGCTTAGGGAAATTGTAGTTCATATCTTATTCAACTCTGTGTATGAGCTTCTCTGGACACCTTTCTGTGTGTATTATATTTCATAGTCATGATATCTGATGTGTAATTAACCACTACTTGAATAATCCTTCCTTTATACATAAATTGATTATTTCAAAGAGCGGCATGAAAGATGAACTTCAGTATTTTACTTTAAATCTGGTTAAAATTGTGAGAACAGAGAACTTCTAAGACAAAGATCATAATTACATGATCACTCTAAGCGTACAAAAAATAACGGTAATGAGTTTTAAATGAATATTTGTTCTCTGATAAATTTTAGCATTTTATGAGCTCACCGTTTTTTTTTACCGCAAAAGACTTTAGTATTTTCTTTAAAAAAATCTTCATTTACGCTACCACTTGAATATGTGTTTGAAGTTAATTAGACGCTTTGATGATAATTATTAAACGTTTCACCGTATACTGTGAAGAAATACATACAAATCAAAGTGTAAAGATAAAAGGGTGAATGTATTTAAACAGCAATGAGATCTGAGTATATGATTTCTACAATCATTATAAAGTAAGTCATTCAATTTTCTTCGTTTTTCGTTCGCATAATTTTTCCATTAATCTCAGTGATAATATTTTCTAATGACACCTTATAACTTTCAAAGTAGTAAGCTCAAAGTTTAATAGTTGAGAACGCTTTTCATGAATAATCTCCATACAGACAATAATGAAAACGAAACATGTAGTTCAGTGAAGAGTCTCTTTTTGGTGGCGAATTCATTCACTTAGCTGTACAATCGCAATTACATATATACTTATTTTTGTATGAGTGTGTACATTAGGTTTGTCCGATAAGAATAAAAATAAGGTGGGGTTATTGTTGTTAGGAGATTTCAAAAATGTGGTAAGCAATCCAGTTATAACCATACGGGTGGGTGTGAACATT